TGTGTGCTGCCTGGCTGCTCTCTAGCTCTCAGGGGCCCAGTACTTGTATATTGGTTTATATGTGGGAATATGTGGATATAGAACTGTGTGAATTTCCTGTGCTGCCTGTGCAGTGACTCACTGTGGGCTGAGCCCTGGCAGAAGTGCCCCCAGTCCAACAGAGCAGGTTCTGTTATTACCCCCCACTTTCCATACACGGAGCTGCAGGCTGAGCGCGAGGGTCGTTTGCCCGGTGGTGGCCCCGGCGAGTGCTGAGGCCAGGCTTCTGCCCGCCGTGGGATTTGATCCTGCTCTTCACTCTGCCACCAGCCTCTGAAGGTCACGCTGGTGACAGGGACACAGTGGCCTCAGGAGCTCGTTTTTTTTTCAACTGGGACCATTAAACCTTTTATTGCTGATGAAGTGTAGGTGCAGGGGGGTGGCGGTTTGGAGGTAAAGACGGGAACTCAGGTCCTTACTGTCCTAAGACCTGAGATGAGTTCCTGCCATGTGCGCCATGGACTCTGGGTGCTGAGGAGCACAGCCTTGGTTTTAAGGAGCAGCCCTGCTGGAAGGATGGCCCCTGACTGCAGCTGTGGGAAGGCCTGCCCCCTGATCTTGGCCTGGGGCCCCGAGCCATCTCCACAAACCCAGGTGAAGCTGGAGAGGGCCAGAGCTTTTCCGTGGCAGCCTCCAGTGATTTGGAGCAAAACAGAGCCACGTGCTGGCCGTGTGGAAGCTCCTGGAGCCAGTGGTTTGTAAACTTGGCAAGGGCTGGGGGAGTAAACACATCCAGGGAACCTGGAGCACGTCTCTGGCCATGATGCATGCAAACAGAAAGCACAGCCTTCTGGCACTTTCCTTAAGGCGCTCTTAGGCTTGGAAGCCAGAGCCAGTTGAGAGCGAGTCCACACAAACCACTTAGCATGTCCATGGCGTGTGGCAAGGAAGTGCTGGCGACGGCTGTGTGGGTGAGAACTGCTTGTTCGCCCAGAGCAACTGTGACACGTCTGTGAAACTGTCGGTGTGCCACCTCCCGCCGCCTTGTTCCAGCATCCTTTCAGGGTTTCCCAATCTTGAACTCTACTTTGCAAACAAAAGTTTCTACCTCCCAAGTGCCCAGCACTTAGGTGCATATGCGTGCAGGGTGTACTACTTCTTAGCCCTTTGAGAAAGTGCTGTTGTCCGCATGTCACAGATGAAGGGTGGAAATTCAGAGAAGTGAAGCAACTTACCTAACGTCACACAGCCAGGTGGGAGCACCTTGCTTACCGTAGACGCCAAAGCCCGTGCTCCTGAACTCCACACTCGGGCCCGGGGATCAGGCAGGCTTACGCAGGCGCTGACGTTCACCCGCCGCCCTGGCGCTCACCTGCTCAGCCTGGGCACCACGTCTACCCTCCATGAGGCCCGCCGGCTCAAGTTTCCTTACCCACTCACCCTCTGCCAGCAAAGGGTGAGAACCAGCATGGCTGTTGCTTCAGGGTAGGTTTCCCACTTATTCTTGCAGAGGATTTGACTGTCTCCTTTCAAATCCTTGGGTTTGCGTCCTGCTCAGAAGGCTGGGAATATTTTCATTTCACAACTGCAAGAGCACTGAGAACAGAGAGGCCCTGTGACTTGCCCGGCACGGGGGGAGCTGGGTCGAGAGGCTCGAGCCTCTCATTTGGACCATCACGCCACAGGCTGGGGGCTGGGGCCCATTTGTTTCTTTTGGACCTACAGAATAAAGGCTGTTAGGTCCCCGTGATCCGGTGTTAGGTCCACGCCTCCACTCGGCTGTGCTTCCCTGAGGAACTGTAACAGGTACAGGTGTCACGGACTCCGCCCCCACTCCAGATGCTGGAACTCCAGATCCCATCAGTACCAAGGAGAAGCACGCCGGGACGTGAGGGCGGAGCTGAGCAGCCAGGTTGGGATAAAACCGGACATGTGGGCTCTGGGGGGACCTGGTGGTTCACGGCTGATCGTTTTGGCGCTCCATCGGTTTTCAGCTGCCGGTGGAGTCCAAGTCAGCAGAACTGGCAGGACATCCTAGTTAGCCTGTGTTTCTCTCCCTCGTTCCCTGGGTTATTCCTTTACCTTTCTCCTTATAAATAATCCATTATTTAACCTTTTGAGTGTGTCCATAATACAATTGAATCGTAAGTGCGCGGGTGAAGACCCACAGACAGGCAACCCAATTCACATTGGGGTGCCCTGTGACAGAACCAGTCCTTTCCCCCATGGATCAGAAAACAAGGGGTCCAGTCCTCTGCACCCGTCTGTGGCACAAGTATAGGGGATGCTGGGTGGACAGTCTAAGACCCACGAGAGGGACATTTTTGTATTTCATGCAGTGGGCATCATCGCCCTTGTCTGTCTCTGAACACATATATCCCCACTGTCAGGAGGAGAAGCGGGCCTGAGGGAGGCTGGGTGCTGGGAGTGCGGGGCAAACCTGCATTATCGGCTAGACATAATGAGAGCCAGCTTTACCTCAAGCTGAGGTGGCCTTAGCTTCTCGGGGAGAGCTGGACTGTGTCAGGCTGGCGAAACAGGTCTCCGCTGGCTTGTTTTACTTGGCAGGCTGGAGGGCCGCCCTCTGGGGAGGGAAGCTGCTGAGGGGAGAGGGATCTGTTCTGGTTTCTGGGGAGCCAGGCTGGAAAGCCTCAGGGGGAAGAGGAGGAAGCCCTGGGGGGCTGTGCAGCTGACTGCCTCTCCCGAATAATACTAAGGTGCTATGAGCTGTTTTACAGTGCATGCGAGAGCCTCAGGCCCTGGTGGACCAGCTCGGCCTCTCAGGCAGGCCTGGTGGGTCTGGAAGCCAGAGCTTCCCCTGTGTGTGGGGCAGAGTCCCGGCTGTGGGGACCATCAGGCGTGGGTTGTGTTCGGCGGAACTGCTCCCCCAGCATGGTGGACATATTGGCTCTCAGGCTGCACTGGGGTCTTGTCCCGGAGGGAATGTTGCCTTTGGGCAGGATAGCGGTGCCCCTGGGGCGAGGCAGCCCCCCACACCCTCAGCTGCCATCCCTCCCTTGGCGCTGGCCCGGCAGCATTGGGGTCCAGGAGGAGACGTGGGCAGGAGGCCACTTGTGCCATCCAGCAGAGTCCCTCTAGGACGCTCTGTGCATGGGCTGGTGTCGCCGTCTGAGGCTGGTGGCGTCCCGAATGCTGCGTTCACCAGCCCTGCCACCACCTCCAGGCCCGGCAGGCCTTTCCAAGAAGAAAGGGCCCCCAGGACTGTCGAGGAGGGCAGGAAGGCGAGGCCACTGGTATTGAAGCCCACCAAAAGCCACAGACAGTGGGCAGGAGAGGGCTTGCTCCCCGAAGTCCTCATCTGACCAAGATGAAGGATCTCAGCACAGAATGGTTCTGGTTGGTATTTCTTGAACATAAATCTTTATTGCAGAGGCAGCAGCTTTGATAGGAAAACATCACATTTCATCCGGCTATTGCCCTAATCAAATGTCTCTAGAGCCAGAGCTCACTCCGTTTCTAATTTGCCCTATTTGGGCTGAGTCGGGGTGGGTGGGACAATGAGGTTGCAGAGGAATGAATATGACTGGTGGATTCTTTTTTTTTTTTTTCTTTTTTAACAGAGGGACAATTTGGGCCTGTTTTTAAAAAAAAAATAGGGAATTCATCTTGGAGGGCAGGGATGGCGAGGAAGCATAATTTCTGTTTCAGTATAAGCGCTGTGTCTGGGGGATAAAGGGTGCCTTCGGGGGAGGGGAACATATACACACACCCTAAATAAGTTCTGGGGGCAGGCGGGGAAGTCTGTCTGTCACCTCCATCTCTCTGCCAGCTTCTTGATAGAGTCAGTGTTGATAAGCACAAACCTCCTGCCCCAAGGGAGAAAGGAAACTACCAGAGGTGTTGGGTTTCTGGGGGCCTGGAGGATGCTGCTGAAAGTGTCGCAGACCTTCCGGCTCTTCCTTTTTCCTGCCTCCCTCCTGCTCTTCTCTCCTGCTTGGCTTTCCTGGGGGGACGGGGGGTGG